CCACCCTAGGTCAGGCGGCCAGAAAGGGGCTGAGCGCTGGCCATTCCACCAGGCCGCCGCGAGCGAGGCTGCGCGCCCGCCGCACTTCGGGCCTGGAGCTCCGGGTGCACGTGGAAGGGATGCGTCCCCTGCTTTAAGCTTCCCCCAGCTGTGCCGAGACCTGGCACGTGCATCTTTCAGCCGCCGCTGGGTTCTTATCTGGTGGCGCGTGAGGGTAATTAGATTGCTGTCCAACACCAAACCCCCACCCACCAGCCTTAATTCACCGTCTCATTTTTGACGGGAGCCTGTCTGCTCCGCAGTGGAACCCCAGAAACAACTTTGGTGTAGGGGACTTGACGAAATAACTCCTGTAACGTACATACTTTGCTAAGGCACCGGAATCCAAAATTTACCAGACAATCGTATTTCTATTATGGGATAGATATCTGAAGTCCTCGAAATAAATTTCGAAGGTAAATTTAATTTTTTCTTCAAGTTAGGAATTTTAATACCCTTCCTACTACCCTGACTTTAAGTGAAAAAATTTTTATTTTGGTAATCTTTTTGTTGTAAGTGTAACGTACTCGGCAGGAACGTCCTAAGTATAATGTCATTTAAACCATGGGCTTATACTATCCCTCAAAATTATTTTCAGATCATTTAATTTCGTGTGGTTGAACAGATGGTGCAGTATAATGTCTAGTCTAGGAGTAAGAAGCACTATTTCTCCAAAACAACCTTTCTCATGAAAGAGGAAAAAAAAAAAAGTATCTTTCTTGTTTTGTGAGGGTTTTGATGACTTTTAGTCTTGAGATTGGTGGAGGATTCCCCCTCTTCTCTCTCTCTTTTTTTTTTAGAGAGCAAGTCTCACTTTATCGCCCTGCTATTTTTTTGTTGCAGTTTGGCCAGGGCTGGGTTTGAACCCGCCACTCTTGGTATATGGGCCCGGCGCCCCACCCCCTCTTCTCTTGATAAGACTAACAAGGATTGAGAGTAGAGTTCTCAGTTTGTTTTACCGTGTTAGTGACATTATGGAGTGTAGTGCAAAGGACATGGATTTGGGAATTAAACATACATGTAATTGAATCCTGACCTAATCATTCATTAACATTAGAAGAGTTATTTAACCATTATAAGCTTCAAGTTGCTTATTCTGTAAAATGAAGATGATGATATAGAGAAGAATGTGTGAAAAGATTAACCTTGTGTAGGTTATTCCCTTACCCCTTTCCCAGGGCAAGGTTTTGTCTACTTTTATGAACTGGAAGAAATTGTGAGACTTAAAGGAGTTTATAGTTTATTTTTAAATTTCGTTTTTGATGTTTTGATATGTAGAACACCTAGAGATCAAATAAGGGTAATTAGGATATCTATCATCTTTTTTTTTTTTTTTTTGAGACAGCGTCTCACTTTGTCGCCTTGGGTAGAGTGCTGTGTTGTCACAGCTGAGCAACCTCAAACTCTTAGGCTTAAGTGATTCTCTTGCCTCAGCCTTCCAAGTAGCTTGGACTGCAGGTGCCTGCCACAATGCCCAGCTATTATTTTAGAGACAAGGTCTCACTTTAGCTTAAGCTGGTCTCAGACTCATGAGTTCATTTTTTTTTTTTTTTT